ACGTAGCTTACAATTGCTGCCTCTATGGCGCAATTACTTAAGGTAGTCCGATCCTCAGGTTTATAAAATTAGCAAATAAGTAATCAAAAATACTCATAAAAGTATCTCTGAATCCAAAAAATTCATGTAAATTTGTCCACAGTATTTCTTTAAGTTTAAAGATTAAAGTTAATCATATTATATAGGGAAAATTGCCAGATCTCCAATATTTTTGCAGAAAAAGCGAATTGGAATATCTGCGATGCATTTTCTAATGAAAAATTGATCAACAAATATATTTTAGGTTTAAAAACTATAGGTATCCAGGCATTCAGAGAAATTGTCATGATTTTTACACTTATTTGGTATTTTTTGTCTTCTATTTCCGTCAAATGTTCTATATTACATAGTGTAAGAGGCTTTTGCTATCATTGCAAGACATCACAAATCACTTCATATTTCATATCATGCAAATAAGCATCGGTATCTAAGCCTGGATGCAGGAAAATCTTATTTCTCTAAAACTGTATTAATTTGTTTTCCTTTTATAGGGTACAAATGTCAACTTTTATAAGACGTTTTCTAAGACTTCCAAAAACCTTGGATCTTATAAAGATTAATAATATGAAAATTGTTGCATGAAAAAATTTCGTTTTCAAGCTTCATTTTGATGCATTTCAAATTAAATATTGATTTTTGGAGTTATCCTTCCTGACTGAGGATCGGATATCCTTAATTATAAAACCAGTATATTATTTATTATGTACATGCAATATAGTGATTGAATATTCAATACGTACCCGGTACATGATTTAAGGGGAGACAGGGCACATGTCACATGACTAAAAAGACATATTACGTCATAAGCGGTGATGATATACATGTTAAACGTTGTTAAAATCAACAGTTCTTGAGTAATTTTATTCTAAATTCTAAAATTGTTTTTTAAACATTTAATTTTAGAAATTATTATCAATAAAATTTTTAAAGAATTTGCCATCATTCAGATATTGTAAAGTTGCCCATTCCACACATTTGTTTCTCTTTACCCTGCAGTCTGACGTCAGTGACGTCATAGACGTAGTGTTTGAATTCTCAGTGCAGCGAGATCAAGTACACACGCCCGTCATGATCAGTTTTATTTCATAATAAACGGTCACAGTCAATGTATCGTGACAAATTTCTGAAGCAGATTTTTTAAATTAATATTTTTTCGTGTTAGGTGCAGAGATTCTCTCTATTTAGATAATTTTGAATGTTTATGTTTTCGTGTGACGTCACAATTAATTTCCCGCACTCGGAAAATACAGACGTGAAGCGTTTTTATCATGCTTACGTCTAATTCAACGATGTCCTGTGCGATATTGAGGTAAGCTTCACCTTGTGATATCTATGCAGTAAATAATTACGATGAAGGACTGACATTCAATCGTAAATTTAGAAATATTTATTGACAGAATTTTTTTCAAATGAGGTTTTTGTCGTTGAAGCTGCCTTGAAAAATACAGAAATTATCCCACCCAAATACTATATAAAATTAAAACAATTGCTTTCAGATAATTTAAACGCTATAAATATTCTGAAATATTTGATTATATAGTGTTATCTATCATATTTATCGTTTGTGCGTAAAAATTCGCATTATGGACTCCGTTATGGGCCCGTAAACATGAAGTATCTAAATTCCATACAAACTCTAAACAGGGCGGTATTTGTGGGGCGATATCTTTTAAATAAGTCAAGAAATCCCATGACAGGACCGTTTTAAAATGTTAAGTACATATTAAATTAGTAATATAAAAAATACGAAAAAAAATTCATTGACAGGAATTTTTTCAGCTAAGGTCCTGTTCCTCCTTAAAACTCAGATGGGATTTTGATAAGTTTTTAAATCTAAAACTGGAAGTGAGTCATTCAGTAAAAAAAATCACATAAAATTGATTTACAATGTACTACTTACATAATATGGTACGTTCTATATATCCATATAAACTATAATTATTTTTTCTTCTAGACAATTATTTCAGGCAATGTGACTAAAACAAGCCTTTCTATTAACATCTTGCACCATGCTGAGATTTATCAGAGAATTTGATTTTCGCACCTAAGTATCAATTAGTAACATACTTGAATGCATTCAAGGACGGTCATTTTTAATGTCTATACTTGTGTTGTACATAATTCGAAAGGAAGGGCAATTTGTGGCTGTACAGGCATGTAGAGCCTGTGGTGGATGTGTTTTCAACGAATCTACTCAAATAGTAAAACTTGGAATACATGTATTGCGCTCTAAAATTGTGCGTGTAGTGTGCAGGATATGGCGAAAAATGCTAAAATTTTCATTAACGTTCTTAGCAATGGACAGAAATGGGCTGATAAAATGTTAAGCAAACGGTGTAATACTTGAAGTAGGGAACTAGGATTAGGGTATATTCGGGTAATTCCGGACAAAACTCACATAAGCGTTGTTTGGTGGGAGTAGCAGCGCGAAACTGATTGATGGGTAACCCAGTTTTGAATCGATGTGTGAATTCCATACATAACCCTCGATAAATTGATGTTTTAGATTGTTTTCCTCCAGGTCTTATTCAAATATTAGCAAAATAAAACGTATTGGCAGAGTGGGGTAAATCCGGACACAATGCGGGTAAATCCGGACAGGCCAATCTTGTATGGCGGCGTAAACGTGCAATGCCAAATAATAGCATACAGTAAGTAATTAGATTATTTGTAAGATTTCAAAGGTCCTCAGCCATAGGCGTAGTCACGGGGGGGGGGCCACTTTTAGATCTGGGTCCGATGTGTGGGGGGGGGGGGGGCAAGAGTATGCCTGTGTCCCCCCCCCCCCCACTTTTTAAAGAAGAACAAAATCACAGCTATTTTGAAATAATATTAAACCTCATTTTATGGCATTTTTTTTAAGTTCAACAACTGAGTAAGCATTTCTCTTGAAGTAATCACTAATAGGTGTATAATATAGTAATGTGATAATATAGTAATTAAATCGTAAAGACCTGCCCCCCCCCCCCACTTGTTTCCCCAACATAACCTTTACTATAGGAAATGTTCATTGAAGGGATAGTCCCCCCCTCCCCCTCCCCACTTATTGACCGTAGTATAGTTATATGGAAGAATTGTGGGGAAAAAATGGAATTGAAAGTAACTTGCCTTTGAAAAAGTGGCCATTACCCCCCCCCCTCCCCCACGAAATAGGATTTTCGAGTTTGGGGAACTTTCAATCTTGGTTGTTTTTCTTTTTTTCTTTTTTTTTTTTTTTGCTTGTCAAAAAAATATTTCTGTAGTTGAGCCTCCCCACTTTTAAGTTTGTGACTACTCCTCTGTCCTCAGCACTAATATAATTAAATTTCTAAGTATCTTACATCTCGTTTGTTACTTTTGGACTTCAGAATCTTTGAGGACGACCATTTGTTTTTGATGAGAGGGGAGTTTGCATTTGACAATAAATAATCTGTCCTTTAAAAGAATAAAACTATATATTATCATATGAGAATAACATAAATAATCCGACCCTGATTGATATGTCACTACCCCCCCCCCCTTCCCGTTTACAAACACGCACATATGGATGTGTATGAAAATTCTACGATTTTTTTTTGTGTATTACTTTATTTATGTGGTGTACTGTGGCTTTATAGTAATCACTAATTTAGGCTAAAAGTACAGAAAAAGACCAATAATTCGTTTTTCCGCGTCAGAATATCTATTTTTGCAAATTCTTTTATTCTAAACACAATGAATGAATATTCAACAAAGAAGAAGCCAAGAATGAGACAGAAGATGTACAAAATAAGTTTTTTTTCGATGGGGGGGGGGGGTATTTATGAATTTTAAATATCAATTCGACAAGTTGACATCGATATTACTCTGAATTTCTTTTTTAAAAAAGCGTGCTTTTATATTTGGTTGACATTGAAATCGCTGAGGTACATTTCGAAGTCATAAGTACATTTCTTAATAAACATCTACCGGGAAACTGCGATCATAATTTAACCATAATGCAATAAAACTTTAATCGATGCCTTTCATTTAAACATTTTCATTCTGTTTAAACTAAAAAAAACACAACAATAGTCCTTTGAAAGTTGCAACTTACGTATATAATTACATCTATTTGTTGAAGCACGCGTTGTTAGGTAATAAAAAAAAATAAATGCCTTTTTTGCATCAATTAATGGAATGACCTGACAACCCCCTGGTATAATGGAATGGCCATTGGATATTTAATCAGTCGCATTGATGACAAGTTATACAGCTGTAAACAGCGGAGAAGAAGTCATATATTGAGAAAAGGAAAAGAGAACGCTAAAATCATCGTAACTGAAAAGCATTAATGGTAAGTTAATTTAGGAACTTTAAAATACTATAATTTAATCAGAAACTCAGAGTAAGAGGAATACACACACACATACGATCTTGGGAGAAGTAGAATACACCCTTTAAAAATAACGTTACAACTAGTTGCTGATAAATTAATTCTGGTTGTAACGCTGTTATTGATTAGATAAAAAAAATTACTTTTGTATATCGTATAATATGGGTTGCCTACGTCACAATGACTTCCGTCAAAAACGTATCAATCAGCCTGACGACAATCAAATTGTGTACAAATTGAATTAAGTCATCTTGTTAGAAATGAATGAAAATTAAATTATAAGCAATGAATTTTATAGATACCCATTTTATACGGTATAAACTGCATGGGTTGGAGCATTTCTACGCCTTTTTATTAACCGCTTCGCGGTTTATAAAGCGTAAACTGTCCCAACCCAGTTTATACCGTATAAAATGGGTAGCTATTAAATTCATTCATTAAATAATCAACACCTTTAAAATGAGACATGAGAAATAGAAATTATCGTACAGCAGGGAACTTCATGCCAAAAAGGGTATTTATTTATTTAGTCAGTTAACAGTATTTATTTAAATTAGCCAGTTAACAGGAATTTTCTGGTGACTCGTTTTCAGTTGTCAACATATAAAAATACAGAAACTTAAGGTATTCATTCTTGTAGTGGTGCTTTGTTAAGTATAAAATACTCGTCATCAACAATGAAATAAATATCATGCTAAACAGAAACAATAAACAATTTGTCAATCAAAATTTTGTCATCAGATTAAATGTATGAAGGGGTTCATTTTTTTTCTTTAAATCAAGCTTTTCCTTTCTCTTTTGTTTTTTCAGGTTAGCATTCTCCTTCTTCTGCCACATCATCTGTTTTTCCAGAAGAATTTCTTCCGAGGTCAAGAGTCTGTGAGATGAAGACTTTGATCTCGGTTTAGTATCAGCTGGTTTATTTGGTTCAACAGACTGAAGTGGGAGAAAGATGTCTGATATGGCGGAATCCCAAATACCAGACTGATGAATTTCAACTGTGCCCTCTTCGTCTGGGGTGAATACTTCTATATTGCCATCATTTATCAATGCAAGTAGCATTTCTGGGTCATCTGCCAAGGGAGGAGTTGTCATATTGTCAACAGGTGTAACAAGACTTATAGTATCTTGACTTTCATTGATTTCAGGGGCCTCATTAATGGAAAGATCCTGTCGTGTAGATGGGGTGACTGTGGGCAATAAGGATGAACCAACTCCTGAAGAGACAATAGTGAAAGATACTGGACCACTAGAAGAAGATACAGAAGGACCAGAAACCAAGGGGGGACCAGAGGATACCTCAGAATGCTCAGAAAGAGTGGTAGTTGCTGATATTTCATCTGCGGAAGACAGAAGTGGTTTGGGCTTATTTGAAGGAATGGAAGGCTTCAACAGCTCAGGAGCAACAGCTGATGGATTGAACGGAAATATGCCACATGATTGGAAACCAGCTTGGATATTTGTTTTGGAGACAGCTGTTTCCCATGCAACTGCCAAAATACCCGGAAATGACCATTTGTTGATGTTGTTAAGTGGGTTCTGGTTAAGGAAGTTTGAGCATTCATTGTTGTAGGCGCTGTTAAGTGGACCAAATACACAGCGATCAAGAGGTTGAAGAGCATGTGTAGTATGAGGAGGGAGGCTCAGAATGTGGATATCATTCTGGATGGCCAACTCAATGATGGAAAGACTCTCGTGGGAGGAGTGGCCATCCAAAATCAGGAGCTGGGGCCTTTCTTTGCCACACTCCATAAGGAATACGTCCTCAAACCATTTTTCGCCAATGTCGTCGTTCATCCAGCCATTGGCTTGGTAGTGCCAGCGTGTTCCTTGTGGGGCAGCAAGGGTGTTAAATCCATGCAAGGATCTGGATGTCTTGCCTTTGACAATAAACAATGGAGACATCTTACCCCCAGCAGCATTCACGCATGCCATGAGCGTTATATTTGTTCTGCATGACGATGTCCTCCCTACCACAGCCTTAGATCCCTTTTCCGCAATGACTTTTACTGGTGTGTGCTCAAAACTTTTTCCAGTTTCATCGCAATTCCATATGCACGCGGGTTTTGATAACAAGCCAAGATTTTTCAAAATTTGCCCAAGATCATCGAAATATTTTGATACTATTGCCGGGTTTGTCATCCTTGCTCTTGTTGTCGCTAACTTCTCTGGTTTGCGAATTGACAGTGTTGGATGTCGCTTCATAAAACCAACAAACCAGTCCTTCCCGGGGGTCTGTTGCTTAAATTGATCAACCTCGATTTTCATTTTTTTGCATAAACTGCCTACCCGGCGCAGTAATTGCCGCCTTGAAATGCCCATGCCCTGTTTAGATGCTTCCTTCAAAGCATTTGCTATCTTATGTTCAACTTCTGGTGGGATCGCTGTTTTTCTACCAGGTTGACCAGGGTTCTTATACTTTTTTTTAATCGTGTCATGTAGGGTTGATTTATTTACATTAAACATTTCGGCAGCCTTTCTAATTGAGTAAGTGCCTTTCATTACAGAGGACACTGCATTCTGCATACTCTCATAGCTGTAAGGTTCTCTTTTCCGTTGCTTGTATGCTTTTGGCATGTTCTGTAAGAATATTTAACCTTATGTTCTATTGAATGATATGTAAAATGAGTACTATGTGATTTATTTTCATCTTAAATAGTCGAGAAAATGTGGTTAAATTCAGATTGATTTTCAGATCCAGGCACGTTACATCGTATTTGAAAGGGGGGGGGGCAAAGAAAAAAATTTAAATTACCTGAAAAAGTTGTCAAGTAAAAAAAAAAGGAGGGGGGGGGGGATTGCCCTAAGTCGAAAATCCTATTTGGGTGGGGGGGGGGGGGGTGTCAACTACTTTCAGTACCCATTTTTGTGCTATTTTACTACATTTTTTCGCACATCACTAACAGGGGGGGGGGGGGGGGCAACTATACTTTCAACTAACATTTCCTATAGAGAATAAGTAAGGCAGAGGAAAAAAGTGGGGGTGGCTGCCTGAGCTCGAATGCTGGAGGCGAAAATTTGTTAGAAAAGTTGTTATCCAGCTTACCGACACGTTTGTGCATCCCCCCATTCTGTATAACATAACTTGCCTACATGTACGTTACAATGAATTAATACGTCAAAAACATATTACTCCCCTTGACATAACTTTGAAAATGTGTTAAATTTTAAGCCTTTTCAAAAAAAAATTCTTATTGTCTACACTAAATAAGAAGGAATAAGCTTCATTCCTTATATATTTTCGATTGAATGAAGAAAAAAAGCATTCTCGGAATTTTATTCAATTAAATAAAAAATGTAACACAGTCATTTACTTTTAATATTTGATCTCATAAATGATATTTGAAGAATTAAGTTGGTGGACAACTTGTTGAAGTACAGAATCGTCCGAAATCCTGCAGCCTATCGAACATCGCTGTTGTGGACCAACACGTTGATTCAGTACTACTGGGACCTCTTTAGGTTTTAATAACCATTTTGACCCTGGTACAATAGTAAACAAAGACGATACTATTTTGGCATCTGTCCGTTTTAAATATGCCTTCTTATGTGGCCCGTCTAATATTGCCGTCGCATTACAATCATATGGATTGTTTTCTTCATGTTGGAGCTTATACCCTGCACCCACTGCCAATTCTTTAGGTCCCCAGTGGTGCATTCCGAAGGCCCATAAGTTGTGGATGACTAAAATTGGCATCTCTGCGGAAATGTAAAAAACTGAAATGGATAAAATGTAGGAAGAATTTATCATGTGTATGCGTGTCACTATGTGTAGATTTGAGTATTTCATAAGTATAATTTTTAAATAAATATTTAGAGCGTATTATGGGCACCTTATTTTGTACGTTGAAATTGTAAAAAAAAAAAGTAATATTTTATCATCACTCACTCTTAAAAAAAGCTGCATTATAGGGGAAAGGGGGGGGGGGGAGAACAGAGTATTAAATATATTTGAGCTCTTCCACTTTATGACTGTCCCGTCATGTTACTATGGATTTGATTTACTCTTCGCCCAACTCGCATTTTGGCCCCTGTTTTATTATTATTTTTTTAAATAATCAGTATTTCATTTTTTTTTAATAGATTGTAGATAACTGTAACGAACACCACCCACCCACCCCTGCGCACACACGAGTTGATGATTATGAAAGCTTTTAAAATTCTTTATCTGTGCCCGAAAATTTTAGTTTGGGAACCCCCTCACACCTTTTCCCTAGCTGCAGACCTGTAGCTATACGAAAAAAAAAATACATACTCCGGTCTGTCAATGGGCTGATTTTTTTTCGGAGAGCTACAGTTCTGCAGCGACCCTTTTTCCCAAGTGCGTGACTCTGCATGAGTCTCTGTAACATACAGCATAATACATTCTTGAAATTAATTTATTATGTATGATATTATGTAAAAAACTCATTCAAATATGTCTAGTTTAGAATTTCGTAATCTTATAGATTTAATGTAGGCCTAGATGAAAATAAATCACATAGAACTGCTAAAAGAACACAATTTAACTATTTAACTATGTCCGCAATTACCCTCACTTAATTTTTTGGTAGGGTAAATCCGGACAATTTATTTTTTTCATTTCAAGTTAAAATCTGGCATAAAAATATAATATCACATACATTTTTTCGATGTTTAACTTCTTTAGAACTAAATTATTACAGTTATTAAAATAGTTTCATTTAATACTTACGTGTTTCGTAGTTTTTTCACTCTGGTCTCTGGTGTAGGCAAGTTGAATTTTCCCGCAAATCGACAACAACAACAAAACAGAAAGTGCAAAGGTCATTTTATTGACGTCATGCTAAATAATCGGGAATTCCCTTTGATTATAAATGAACATGATAGAAAAGAATAAAGGTTTTATTTTCCAAAATGATACACACAATTCAGATAAAATAAGACGATTTTCATTGACGATAACATAAAACAGAGGCATTTTATTTCTGTCCGGAATTACCCGCTGTCCGGAATTACCCGAATATACCCTAAATAGTTTATGTAAAGATGTGTCTCAGCTGTGTTGTCGATTCTTAATGAAGACTAAATAAAAACAGAATAAAATAATGTTGTATACCTTTATGAAGATTTATTAATACTTGAGATTAATACTGTATTTTCTTTCTTGGACTCTTGGATTATTTAAGAAATAAATAACAAGTTTATAAACTTCAATGGGAATTGAAGTGGGTCGGTCACGTGATCAAATCCTGTGAAGGCCGGAGGCCTTCTCAGAAGATTTGATTACGTACCGACCCACTTCAATTCCCATTGAAGTTTATAAACTTGTTATTTATTACTTATATATACATTTGAGACAGACAATTGAATATTTTCGAATTTAAATTATTGCACTAACCGTCCGTCGTAGATTTTGAAAAATGACGCAAGGTGTAAATCGGCTTGCATGGCGGTTACGCTTCAAATTCATTGGGCTAAGGAATCTATTTCGAAGTGAATATTTTGTGAAAGACTACTTGTGATCAGTAATAGTGAACAGATTGTTGTCTGGGATTATTTTATTCGTGAAAATGATAATCGATGCTGAAAAGACACAAGAAACACGTCCGAAGTTTGATGATAAAAAGTTGGAGGAATTTCGGTCGCTGGAAAGGGATGGATGGATCCGATGGACTGAGACACTTGTCCGAGCCTGTTAATTTGCAATTTGATCAAAGATATTCCACGGTTTCAGTAACTAAATCCATACTTATCGTAAAACACTGATAAACACGGAGACACTGGCGACAGCTTTATATTGAACTACGAAAACACCGAGGTGTTTGGCAGCTGTTCATGGCATGATTGCAAAGATATTTTCCAACAGATTTACACATTTATCGTGAGTAAAATTTAAAGATAAAATAAAAGTTTATCATGAAAATTTAACCAAAGGTCTACCCAAAAAATAAGGATGAACGTTAGAGACTGCAGCTGACAAAAGTGAAGAAAAATGTAAAGAAACGCTAGGCTCCTAGTTTTCTCTATGTACACAGGTTGAATCGATAGCCCAAAAACTGTATGAAATACTTGTTTACATTTAAAATAAAATAATTATCATTTTACTTGCTTATTTTATTCATTTTTATACACGAAAAGCAAGTAGAGCAGGTCATTTTATAATTTATGTACCGGTAGATATTGTTGCGCCGTGTGATTAGGTCACGTATTGACCTCTGACCTCTGACAAACTTCATACAGAATTGAAGATATTTTCTCTCTGTATGTTTATATAATGGAGAGATACCACAAATGTATATATTAATTATTGAAATAGCAGAAATATTATGAGCAATAATTTTCAGTATTCCTTTTTAACTAGCACAACAATGCCGTAGATATGTTTTTCCTCTCGCATGTTTTGCATGGTAGTGAAGATCATACATACACAAGTAAAGAATGGTGAAAAGCACCAGGCGTCCGCAAAAAATACTGAAGCATTTTGAATTATTTCAACAATAGTCAAAAATGCTTTTGGAGGTTTAACTTATGACGGGTTTGACGTATTTTTAATCCAAAGAAGAAAAGTATAAAAATTTTATTGCAAAAACGTATCATTTACTAATGAGTGGCACATATTGTATGTCAACACAAATGTTACTGCAAATACATGTACACTATAAATCATACATTTGAAAATCAGAGATTACAGGTTAGCATAAAAAAATAAATATAATATCTTTATACAAAAATGTATATTTACATATTATATCTGACATAAAGGGCTTTAATTCTACGGATGTTAATTTCATTTACATATGACGTAGTTACAAACATGATGCCAATCTTCAATTTCAAATACTTGTAAACGCAGAATGAATTTGTTATCAAATATGATCACCAGAAAATGTTATCTTTCACAATCTGATTAAAATCAGATCCTTTGATCCGCTCACATAGATCGCTACACAAGGATCTGTTAAGAAACCCCATTCAGGGTCATCTCCTGGTGACCTTTCTAATAAAATTTTGTCCAATCAGAGAGGTCGTACTTGAGCGACATTCGGAAAAACGAAATTAGAAGTGAAAGTGGCTGCGGAGAAGATCTTATCGTTTCGTACAAAACAAAGAGCTAAAATAACAAGACAAAAGCAAGCACTTATTATATTATTGTACAAAAAAGTCTGTGGTCCTTCTCTTGACAGGCTACAGAAACTAGGTCACGATTTTTCCATTCGTGTATCATCGGGCCTTTCCCCTCTGTAACTGAATTCCAAGATACTTTCCAATTCTCCAAAATAAACATTTGATTGGATAATTCAAAGGTCACCAGGAGATGACCCTGAATGGGGTTTCTTCAGATCCTTGTGTAGCAATCTATGTGAGCGGATCAAAGGATCTGATTTTAATCAGATTGTTATCTTTCAGTGTTGCACGTAAATGTGAAGAATTTTAGCGACATTTTCAAGTGTTAACATTTTTTTCAAATACAATGTAATACATTTTCCAGCAAAAGTATTGTCTTCCCACAAATTTTTATTAAAATAGAAAATTTTAACAGCAAATTTTCTATTTTGATAAAAATATGAAAAATTTGTGGGAAGACAGTATAGCTATATGTACATTTAGAGTTTAAA